CCGGTTGGATTTAATATTATTATCCAGTACAATACAGGGTCACGGTGATGTCACAGAGCGTGAAGTGCCTGGATGCCATGACAGCTATCGTTATGATTCTTCCTATTGTTTTTTAGTTAGCTGATGCTTTTTTTCAAAGAAAGATACACTGTCACCCATTTATCCAGCTGTATATTAGTTCGGGTTAAAAATTCAGGGTATAGCAGCTGAGCCTCTTCTGGGACTCTTTGAGGCGATTTGTCTGTGTAATGCATGCTACCTGGTGCCAACAGTGTGTAACCGCCTCAAACTCAAGGCGATCCGTTCTCCATTTTCCCCCAGAGCCTCAAACGTCACCTTCTCCACACACAGCGGGACCAGCTCATCCCCTCGGATACTCCTGCCAGGAGTTCGCAGAGGCCACACTTCTTGTCAATACTATTTAATTAAATACCACCAAGCCAGAGAGGGAGTGTGTTTCGGGCTGATCGATGGGGAACTTCAGAAGCCTCCCCTGAGGCTCCCAACTGATCAGGCCAGACGGGCAGATCTGAAACTGGGGATTCTGGGTAGCTGTCCCAAGTGGACAGTCTGCGCCTCCGTCAAAGTCTATGGTTAGATGGCATGAGTGGAAGAATGCCAGCTATGCCTCTAAAATGTGTTTTTTTTAATCTCCGTCCCCACCCCCGTTTGGTGCCCAGAACCCCTGTTTTTTAACCCATCTCATGGCAGGTGGGCAGCCCCGAATGTGAAGGGACGTTGCTTAGATTAACATCTAAAAACTTCATGTAGATGTGAAAGCAGCTGCTTACGTACAGTAGATTATTTGTATTGTACGCTAATAATACGTGCCATACATGACAAACATTATTAAAAGCTTGATGGTTAGAGTTATCACTAAGCAGTATCCCACTTAATTTACCTTGCACAAATAATTTGTTAGAAATTATATAGAATGGGATTTCTTAAATACTCCTTATTTTGAAATGTGTAAATCTCTTCTGTTTGTTTTTTGCAAATCCTAAAGTGCAGCCATGTGTGACACAAAATGTTTAGGGCATTTTAAGTACTGAGTACTTCATAATTAAAATAACAGATGCCAGATGTTTCTTCATTATATTACACAAAGTCCCTCTGGTATTAATGCTCTTTAATACCTGGGAAAGTTAATGATGCAAAGCTGACGGCTTAATTTAATGCCTTATATAGACATACACCTTCCAAGTAAATTTCCAGGGCAGAAATGTAACAGAAAAGGTATGGGAAAGTGTGCTTTCTCTGCAGTATATCACAGGCTAAATTTAAAAGGCTGGCAGATGGCAAGAATGTAACTTGTTTATTCCAAAGTCACAAACGCATAGACATGTACTCATGCACAATAACATACTATACTGTAGGTACACATGTATTCTCTCACTTAAACACAGATAACTAGACATATGTGCAAAAACCAGTCAGCCATGACATTAATTCCACTGGCAGGTGAAGTTAATAACATTGATTATTGCGTTCCAGTGGCACCTGTCAAGGGTGCCTTTATATATTAGGCAAGTTTTTGAAGTTGATGTGTTGGAAGCAGGAAAAATGGGAAAGGATAATAATTTGAGCGACTTCGACAAGGGCCATAGTGTGATGGGCAGATGACTTGCACAGAGCATCTCCAACACGGCAGGTCATGTGGCGTGTTCCCGGTATGCAGTGGTCAGTACTTACCAAGAGTGGTCCATGATGGGCCAACCGGTGAACTGGCGATGAGGTCATGGGCACCCAAGGCTCATTGAGCGAAGGCTAGTCCGTCTGATCCAATCTCACAGGAGAGCTACTGTAACACAAATTGCCGTTAATATGGGTATGATGGGCGTCAGAACACACAGTGCATCACAGCTTGCTTAGTGTGGGACTGCGCAGCTGCTGACCGGTCAGAGTGCCCATACCTACCCATGTTTTCCACTGAAATTGCCTACAAGGGGCACATGAGCATCAGAGCTGGTCCATGGAGCAATGGAAGAAGGTGGCCTGGTTTGATGAGTCGCATTATGTGTTACATCATGTGGACGGCCAGGTGCACTATGGGAAGAAGGCAAGTTGGAGGAGACATACTAGCCAGTGTTCTGCTGGGAAGCCTTGGGTCCTGGCATTCATGTGGATGTTAGATTGACACATACCAGCTAACACCTCTTCATGGCAATGGTATTCCTCAAAGGTTGTGGCCTCTTTCAGCTGGACAGCGCGCTCTGCCACAATGCAAAAATTGGTTTGAGGACACGAGAAAGTGTTCATGGTGTTGACTTTGCCTCCAAATTCCCCAGATCTTAATCTGATCGAGCATCTGTGAGATGTGCTGGACAAACAAGTCCGATCCATAGAGGCCCCACCTTGCGACTTTCAGGACTTAAAGGTTCTGCTGATAACGTCTTGGTGCCAGATAGCACAGGATACCTTCAGAGGTCTTGTGGAGTCCATGCCTCGACGGGTCAGAGCTGTTTCAGTGGCACGAGGAGAACCTACACAATATTAGGCATGTGGTTTTAATGGCTGATCAGTGTATACCAACATAGGGAACAAAGTTCAGAGTGTACACACTCTTACACATGCAGGAACATGTACACGTAAACACAGAAATAGGCATGCAAATGCACACTGACATATACAAGCACTTAAAAAGATAGAAAGAGATGCAGATCCACACAAACTCACAAGCACAGTGACTTCCTTCATACTGCCAGATGTGGACACACTGTACGAAATATATATACAGACAGTCCCAAAACTTGCAAGTTTAGAATTCACACTCAGATATCAAAAGTTCTAGAAGCATGCTGATGGTGCTGGTGGCACCCGGGGTATCTGTGAACCTGTCTGCAAATGGACACAAGCACACAATTCTACTCTAGTGAGGCGACCCGTGTGGCATGAAGCGTGAGAGGCAGCGTTTACCAGCCCCCGCCACCCCCACCCCCACCTCGTCTCCATCACGCCTTCACGGAGCACGCTTGGCACGGGAGCCCAGTCTCTGAGCGCGTGTGTAACTTTGTGTGTGGTGAGGACGACCAATGACAAAGCAGTGGGCTGATTGTGTGTTTGGGTGGTAGGCAGTGTGTGTGCGCGTGTGTGCGCGTGTGTGTGTGCGTGCGTGCATAGGGGTTAAGGTTGTCATAGTTGGGACTAAGATTATACCCAGAGAAATGAATGGAAAGTTCCCACAAAGATATAGACACCTAATCTGTGTGTGCGTGTGTGAATGTGTGTATGTGTTTCTCAGTCCTGCCTCTGATGCTGACGGAATCTGAGTGCATCATTGTCTAGCTTTGTCTGTCAAACTCACTTCAAAGCCTCGCATCTGTTGTCTAAAACCTTGTCCAAAAATGGACCCTTGTGGCTCTTACACACAGCACACAGCGTCTGTCACATGCCACACTGTCCCCTTCCCGGCCGGAGTGTCAGTGGAGGTTTATGCAGAGGGAGGCTAAGCGGGGTCTGATTTTAATGACGATGAATGACAACACACTATTTACACTAATAAGTGTACATTTATTTGTGGGGGGGATGAAGAACAGTTTAGGAGGGTGTAGGCGTGTATGTACATGTGTGCTTCGGGGAGGAACTGCAAAGGGTGCTGGATGTACTGAGCGTGAGAAGAACGAACACATTTAGGAGTGAGGGGCAGGTCTCACCCCCCCTTCGTCATTCTGCTCTTAATCTTCTGTTTCTCTACATTGCTGGTAAAGAACTGTAAGTACAGCGTGTGAGACACGTTACAGCCTGCAGTGCACGAGCGCAGGCTGGGGACTGGACAGGGAGGCAGGGGGGCTGCAGAGTGACATGGAGATACAGAGGTTATTCAGTATCGCTCAGCGACACCCCCCTGAGGACGTGTCGGCATGGTGCCTGTTTTGTTTACCCTCCTCTTAGAACGTCAGGCAGTTCATCTCTGGCACAGCTATGTGATTTTGATGAAGATGCAACTCCATGCGGTGTCTGCCCTTTAATTAAGGTGGGGGGGGGGGGGGGGCAGTTCTGGCAATGTGCCCTATACCCGCCTCTCGTTCACACTCGTACCTTTTCTCACGGCTCCCGGCAGGCTAATCCTTCTCCCCTCCCATCCACTGGAGTATCTTTCACTCCCCCATCCTTTCGGGGGCCCCCTCCCCCCACGCGGGCCTTCGCGCCGCCGGCGGGCACGCGTCAGGCTGACGCAGGCCCGCGGGCGGCCAATGGCATGCCGTCGCCGGGTACATCTGGGCCGCTCCCCCCTCCCCTCGTGCTCATTCACTGCATGCGCAGCGGAACGGCGGCAGACTCCCCGCTCTCAGGACTAACACTGTGCCGGCAGCATGCTGCAGTACGCTGAAGGTAGGGCCGGGTCGGGGGGGGCTCCCTGATAGCCGGTCGGGGTTCCAAGGGCTGATGGCTAAACGCTGGGGGGGTTAGCCACCCCGCTAGTTTGTCAGTGAGCTGCCAGGCATTCGCTCCGTGCCGTTCCGTGTTTCATTCTATACGCCGCGGTTTGTTACCATAACCAACAAGGGTGCTGAGAGCTTCTCACTACTTTTATGAAATGCTTGTTGTTATGTTAGTTTCACAGTTTATTAATTACCAATCGTGCCGGTCTTGTGGCAGGGCTGTGTGGACAGGGTGGGATTTTAGTGACGGCTGTGAAGATTCGATGTTCTTGTAGGTTCGATCTGTCTGATGTTCAGATGCTCACCGTGAGTCATAAGGCGGTAGATAAGTGTCGGCAACAGGACTGTCGGAGGGTTTGTTCATTGAAGAAATGACATTTATTTCTCTATAGAATCACTTGCCCATTTGATCCTTATGATGATTTTTATCATTGGCTTTTTTATTATTTATATGAACTGTTAAAATCACTGTCTGAGGCAGACGTGCCGTGTCGTCGGCTGCGTGTGTGTTTTGCATTTCCGAAGCTGCGTGGGCTGTATTCTATTCCCATTCAAGTTCTCATGTACGTTTCTGTTCCTCTCTGTCTTCCTCTCTCTCCCTCGGTCTGGCGGCCACAGTTAACGGGACCCCCGGCAGCCAGCTGTCCACCCCCCAGTCCGCCAAGTCCCCCAGCCCCTCCCCAGCCAGTCCAGGAAGCCTCCGGAAACGCACAGTAAGAGAACCGGCAGCTGCCACTCAAACGTCATCCCATCTCCCCCCCCCCGCCGCTGTTGCTCTAATACAAACACAAACAAGTATATCCTTGCAATTAATATATTAAAACACACGCATGCAGATACACATGCTATCACATATTCACCTGCTCACACACACGCATCATTGGACCGGTCCGGTTTGTTGCATTTGCCGCTGCAGTCGGCCACGATGTCGGCTGTGGATTCGACAGAGACACCATCAGCATTACTTTCAGCGCCGTCCGCATCTGTGTGTAACTGTCATCATGTTCTCACGTTGGCATCCCGCAAAGCCGGTCCCCCATACCAGCCCTGCGAGAGACTGCCGGGTCCCCACCACGGCGAAATGGGCTAGTCAGGGCCAGGCAGGTGGCAGGCAGCACCAGGCACACTCATGCTATAGAAGTCGCAGTATGGCTGCAGCAGTGTGTGCAGTGCATGGATCCCCATAGATACAGGGTGCAGCAGATTCAGTGCAGTTTCACATGCGAGACCATGTCCTGGAGAACATTTAAGTATATTTCATTGTCATGCATTTGGACCGTGAGTACCAACATGTTATAAAATACTGTCAGTATTATTATTAGCTGATAGTCCTGTGCGGGTAAATACACAGTGCTTGTTTACCTGACTCTCTGTGCTCGAGGATGATTAATGAAATTTTCAGCGAAGATCATTATCTGATCGCTGCATTAGGGTTCAAAACAAGGACCTCCAAATCCCTAGTATAGCTCTTTCTCCACCAATCTTAGATTTGGATTGGCATTTATCCACCTTGGCAAAGACATTTATGCACCTTCTTAACAAGATATAGACATGTGCGGTTAAGCAGTTGTGTGTAGTTACACGATCAGCCGTGCACACTCGCGTATACGCGCATGCATTAATGCACTTCCTTCTGTATTCTCAGGACAAGGACAGAATTTCCACTGAAACCCCAGCATAGAGCTCACATTACAGGAGCCATTGGGAGTCGCCAGAATGCTTTTTGGGCTCCAGAAAGGAGACACATCCTTGTTCGAAATGGATCTGAGTTCACAGCTGATATTATTTGAATATAAAATGAAAAGCAATAAGTTTGTACAGAGTATGTATTTAAAAAACGCAGTAGGATATACAGACTGATACAGGGGAGTTGGGTTTGTAAAAGCTTGGCTGTTACCTTGATGAGCATGCAACTAAACAGGAAGAGTTTCTGTTATGTTCAAGTGGTTCAGCATGGATAGCTGATCCAAAGGGTAGCTGATCGAAGGCAGAGAATTGTAGGGCAGATCCCGATCGATCACATTCACAGCCCTTCAAGACCGTCACTTCAGAGCCGACGCTTTACTCTACATAAGCCGTAAACTGTTCCATAAACCGTTTAAGCGTCTCAAATGTGTTTGCTTGAATTGGCTTTGCTCAGAAATCTAGCCCAGCACCACTGTGGCAGGTGAAAATGGTGCCGTATATATTGGATTCATGGGAGAAAGTGGACTCCCACCCAGATGTATAAAACCTGGCTGGGGGTGGCCTCCTCTGCATGTGAGCCAGACACAGCTCTGTGTCCCGCCACCCTAAGAGCATCCATCGGCTGCTGAGTTTCCATACTAATTTCCCTTTCATGCTAATTTCCTTTGATGTCTCCAGATGCTGGAAGAAAAAAGGGGGAAAAAAACGGGAGCTTCCAGAATAGCACCATCTGAGTGGTCATTTTTCTGGTGTCATGCCATGAATCTGAATCTGCTGCTCTGAGTCCTGAAAATGTTCTTGGTAGCTAGAATCCCTGCTTTAGACATTCATCGGAGAACCGGTTTGTCCCACTTCTGTGATGGCATCGCTCCTGGCTGCAGAGAATGAATGAGAATGTGGGACACCCAAGGGTTCCCAGCATGCACTACCAGCTCTCAAACTCAGGAAATAACAACCACGGTAATCGTTTGGAGTCCCCAGTAGTTTAGCAGTCACATTCCTCATCCTCCAAGGAGCAAGGAGGACACAAAGAATGCTGAGCAAGGAGAAAGCTCTGCAAACGAGGTGGAAGATAGCTTGTGGTCAGTCCATGTCCCTTCTGGTTCCCAGCACTCATCCTCTCCTTTCACCTTCCCGTTGGCCCACGCTGAACCCAATGTTGCCAGCCTTGCAGGAGCTTCTGTGGTTCTAGTTCATTCTGTCTTTGGTTCCACTGCTCATGTTGCTGAAGGTTCCACCCCAGAAGATGGGTGATCGTTGGCTGAATTCATTTGCCCTATTGGGTGTCCCGCTTGTCGATATCTAATGAAGGCTAACAACCTTCTGCTTCTTTAGAGCCAGTTGAAATGGGTTTCCTCACTCTTATTAATCAGTATTAATGGTCTTTTATATGTACTGTAGGTATTCTGGATGTTTCTCTGTCCTCAGAGAGCCAGCAGTAGTAGTCGACTATCAAAGGTTAATTTGTCTTTTTCTCGTGGTTTGTTTTCTTTCCTCATGGAAATTCATTTAGGTCTGGTAGCTACTGGTGTGTTTTTTTCTTCGGGAGGCGTAAACATAGACCTGCCTACTTTCACTCTTCAGGGTGTACAGAGCGCCTGGATGCAGAGAGAAGGTGTGAGACGTGAGGTGTGCGGCAAGGTGCCCGCCTCCTCAGCGTGGCACCCTGCCAGTTCCTGTCGTTGCCTCGCAGATAGCTTGGTTAACCATGGCTGTGCCTGTGTTCACTGCTCGCTAACCTCCTGTCGTTAAGCATCCACAGCGGATGGGCATAGGGTGAAGTGAGGTGGTGTGGGAAGGGATAGGGGCTTGTGGGTGATACATGAGCTTATTTGTAAAACATATAGCTCCCCGCTGGAATGTCTCCAGAATACTGTAGTAGCGAATGGCCACATTGTCACTGAGTGCCAAATTAGACTGAAGCATTTGGCCTTCTGTGTGCATTATGGACTGTGCCTGCTTAGGAACTTAACTTCCGAAGCTGAAATGTTTTTGAAGCTGAATTTGCAATGATTGATTTTGAGGTTGGGGAAATCAGCCCGTCCTCCCATTACTCTCTCCACTCTGTCTGCGAAGACACAACCTCTCCAACAATGCATTTTTTGCAAAGAAATGAGTGACAGAGACCAGTAATTGTCCACTGCAAGCTCAATAAAGTAAAAGAAAACAATAGAGGAATATAAAATGAATTCACCCATCCCGCATGTTTCTTAGACCATGAAAGGGTTGCTGATTTCAAAGTATTCTGCTGCCTTAGTTTCTTCTCGTAGTGGAGGCTTAGAAATATCTAGTCACGGTATTTCAGTGCAGGACTCAGAAAACACACACCTCCCACAATGATTCTCCAAGACCTCCATCATCACATACAATTTCAGCTCCATGGCTTTTATATTTTCAGAGCACATGCTTTCATCTTCATTATTCTCCCTGTTCAGTTGCATGCTCTCCACTCTTCTGCCCTTTGTGCATGCGTGAACCAGCATGACCGTATGTGTCTGCGGGAAATGGATCACGGCGTCACGTGTGTTTCGTCAAATAATGTGTGCTTGATAAGGGGAGATTCTATGTAATATCTGCAAGACCTTTGATATGCACAGAAGCAGCAGAAAAGACAACACACCCTGCCATCCAGTGCAATGTTGTACAGACTTTTTTGTTTCTCACAAAAACATGCTGTCGGACCAACTTGGTTATCACTGCTCCCATAATTGTCTCTACATACCCAGTTTATATGTAACACTGATCATCTGAGGATTCTCCTGCTGCTTCTCACACTGGTTTTTTGATTCTTATCCTGAGTTGTGATTTCATTTGTCCTGCCATAATGTCATGTAACATCTGTGTGTTTTGTTGTAACTTGTAAAATTTTTTGCTTTTCTGTGCTGTGTGTGATCCTTATTTTAATGCAGATAAGGAAATCCTCCTTTTCAGGATGCACTGTTATTTAGCTCAGTGAAAGACAGGACAGGGTTTTTGGGTGTCTGTAGTTTTACAGGATGCAGATAAATTTTTTTGCGATTAATTGTCATTGTTGACACACTACAACAAAATTTAACCCATATATGACAACGTGACATAGCAGGGGGCAGCTAATTCAGCACCCAAGGAGCAGTGCTTGGGGGGGGTACTTTAGTGGTGCCTTGCTGGTCAGGGATTCAAACCTGCAATCTTTCAATTACGAGGGCGCCTCCCTAACCATTAAGCCACTGCTGCCCAGATTATGCTGGTGGGAGTTTTGCTTACACAAAAATATTCTGAGGCCCGAACAAATGATTGGTTTGAAGAGATAACCAATCAGATTGTAGAGGAGGTGGATCCAAGCAACTAGAGGATGACCAACCAATCAGATGTCTTAGTCCCGCCTCTTCTACTTGCTTAGATACACCTCCTCTACAATCTGATTGGTTATCTCTCTGAGCCAATGATTTTTCGTTCTGCCCTCAAAATTTTTTTATTTTAGTAAAACAGATGCACACTTTACTTACTTCTTTGTTGCCCACACTGCAGAGAGCATATGTAGCCTATTGGCTGAGAGAGCATTTAGAGATTTGATTGGCATGGACTGGTCAGAGCTGTATTGGAGACCAGCTCCTTCAGAGCCTGGTGCAGTCAGATTCCTTCAGGGCAGTGCAGTCATTTAGAGGCACTGAGGGGAGGAGCATCACTCTGCTTAAAGCAAGGTGACACACACTCTAGTGCTTTACAAATACTGGTGAGTCGATTCAATTTTTATACGAAGCATTGGAAAAAGGATTACATCTAAATGTTTTTTTTTGTGTGGCTTCTTTGTGTTTCCATATTGTCCTTTTTATTTTATTTTATTGTTCAATTAATGTTTATGTTCTAAACTGATGTGCAGTATAATAAAGTAAAATTGTAAAATTTGGCCAGTGTTCTAACAGAGAATTTGCTAAGCTAACTTAGAATTGAATTAGCTGATATACCTTTTTGCATGTCAGAAATGGAACCTGGAAGTAGGAAGTGCCCTTATTTGGTCAAAGGAAGTGCTCTCAGCCCTGACCCAGCCAGCTGACTCAGTATTGTGAACATATTATTAGCACCACTTGCCTAAACCATTCCCATGGAAACCAGAATTCTGTGTTCGCGGCTGACATCTATATAAGCCGCAAATGAGATTTAGAACAGGGAAAAAAAAAATGCTAGTCTGAAAGCAAAAATTACACTGGCTCTTGTGAGGCTACATTCACAGTGGAGGAATGTGCAGTTCTAAGTACTAGTATAAGGTTAGTTACCTTAGCTACCTGGATAGAAGTACTGTAGTTAGTAGTGGATTAGGGCGTTTTTTCATGGTGTTGACATTTGGAGTTTAGGCGGCTTTAATTCCAGGATTACACTAACTGTCTTTCCCCTCCTCCTCTAGGGATCCCAGGACAGCAACTCATCCCTGTCTCTTACCTCTACCAAGGTGTCCAACTCCATAGAAGAAGGTGATGGTGCAGGGAGTGAAGGTAAGAGGTGGGGAGTGAATATACTGTGGTAGTATGTGGAGGAGAGGGGGGGCAGTCCTCTATCAACAGTGAGATACCCAGATCTCTCAGGAGAAGGTGAGGAAGGATAGACGTTGATTTACAAGAACTTTGTACTGAGTGTAGTGGGTGGGAAGGAGGGAACCATTGTGGCGTAGAAAGGTAGAGAGGAGCTTCTCCCCCTCTCCACTAGAGACTGACCTCTAACACCCTCGCTTGTGTCGTCATTTCAGCCGAGGCAATGAATGACTGCCCCCCAGTGCCCGCCTCCATAGCCGAGAGATACAAGGTGGGCAGGACCATCGGAGATGGCAACTTCGCTGTGGTGCGGGAGTGCGTGGAGCACTCGACGGGCAGGGAGTACGCTCTGAAGATTATCAACAAGGGCAAGTGCAGAGGAAAGGTATGCGAGGCAGTGTGCATGGAAGTGGCCCTCTGAGCATGTCCACCCAAGAGGCGGAAGTCGGTTTGCGGTCTGAGTATTGGATTTATCCGGCTGATGCCCGTGACCAATCTGTTCGTTCCCAGGAGCACATGATACAGAACGAGGTGTCGATCCTCCGACGAGTCAAACACCCCAACATCGTCCTGCTGATTGAGGAGATGGACACTTACAGTGAGCTCTACCTGGTTATGGAGCTGGTCAAGGTATGGTTATCCTTAGTCAACACAGCTTTCTTGACATAAGATGCCTCTGTCCATGTCCATGTCTGAGGAACGCTGATGAATATGTGCGTTCCAAGATCATTTTCAAGTCACTCCTGAGGAAAACCACTTGATTTTTGTACTCCTTCTGGTCCTTACAGCTTCTTCAGTCTTTGAATTTTAGCTGTGTCCTACCTTCCGTGCTGCTTTACAGCCTTTGAGGCTGAAGTCCTGTTTTTACGCCACTAAGCACAACACTCGGCCCAAAACATCTCTGCATGTGTGCGTCGGTAGCAACGAGCAAGGAGTCGAAGCTTTTAGTGCCTGGTTTGGTTAACAAGGCCGCTCCAGACCAAATGATGGAACGTAATCACTGTAGAAGATGGTGTGTCTGTATCCTACTTCATCCCAAACCGAGATGAACATTCGGGTCGAAGAGGCAGAGATGTGTCAGTGCACTGTGGGTGGAGAATCGCTGTGTGACAGCCTTTTTCATTTTAATGAGTGTTCCTGAGACGAGCCGGGCCTGTTCAGAGTGGAGAGCTATTTTGGGCTGTTGCTCTACTTATTAGCCTCGGAGACGGAACTCTTATACATGTCAGAGAAGGGGAAAATAGGCCATATTTCTTACAGCCTCTGAAAAGATTTGGAGACAACAAGGCATTCCTTGAGGATGGGTGGGCAGCTGAGGCTGATGCGGAGGGTCTCAAGGGGAAACATCTGGAACCTTGGTGAAAGCTGAAGTTTTGTGGTTTTCCTCAAGTGACTCTTTTTCAATGAAATGTTTGTGTTTAAAAAAAATACTGAAACATAGATAGTAACCTAAGGGTTCGGCTTGGTCATCAGTCCTGCTAGTAGAGGTGGAATGATTGGCCGTCTGCGCAGGAGTGATCTCACAGCTGTTCATTGGGACCTGCATTCTGTGTTTCTGTCCAGGGCGGTGACCTTTTTGATGCTATTACCTCCACCAACAAATACACAGAGAGAGATGCCAGTGGTATGCTACACAACCTAGCCAGCGCCATCAAGTACCTACACAGCCTCAACATCGTCCACCGTGACATAAAGCCAGAGAACCTGCTGGTGAGGCCAGTGTGTGTGTGTGTGTGGGGGAGGGAGGGGGGCTATTATATGCCTCCTATCTTTTGTCTGACTGCCTGTCAAAATCTTTACAGTGATAAAAGATTCAACTGTGCAGTAAACAAATATATGGGTCAGTCTTATGAATATTAATTAAATCATCTCTCAAGAAGTAACTTTGAAACCATGAACGTAAAATTCAGAAGTGCTTCAGGATTGTTTTTTTCACCTCTGTTGAACTGTATTCGACAGCTAGGGAAAAAAAAATCCAGTTTCCTGAGAGACAAAATGAAAGGGTCTGTGTTATTTCCCCTCGTCTCGGTGGCCCCCGTCAATGGCTGTGAAATTGGGAGCGGGGGGGGGGGGGGGGGGCAGCGCTGGCTTCTCGGCACCATACTCCCCCACAAAGCCCCGCGGGTCGAGGAAAACCGTAAAAATAAACTTGGTTCTGGCTGTACTCAGCACCAAAGGGCAGCTTCTAAATCCAGCGGCATGCACGGTATCATCCACGCGAAGAGGAGGGGGATGATTCATTGCCTCTGCTCGTGCTCCGAAGCACTGCTTTAAACAGGCTGTTGGCGAGGCCTAGGGATCAGCGGGACTGTCACTGTGTAAGGAACAGGCAGGCGTCTGTTCCGGTGTGACAAGCCGGAAAAGCGCCAGACTCTCAGAGACTCATATACCATCTCTTATGCATTTTGAGTGCCTGAATTGACCTGAATTTTCAAAAATAAGTAGCTTTCTAGGGCTGTCTGCTAGCAAGAGATCAAATTCTCTCATTGCCAGTTTGCATATATTTTTTATGCTGGCTGAAATTAATCATTACCTTCACAATTGGAGACATTTTCTGTGATTTTGTTTTACTTAATTTGGCAACCCAGAATGCTTTGTGCTGGGGTCCCACTGTTCTTGCTAGCTCTGTGAATGTGCCAAACATATCTTCATGCACATACACGAGGCCTATTCTCTTGGTGGTTTGTGTTATTGTGAATGTGTCCGTGTAACAGCGAAATACACTTAAAATATAAAACAGTAGCTGTTTTGGTGTGAATCATCACCATCACTGTTCTGTACCCTAGGTGTACGAACACCAAGATGGTAGCAAATCCCTCAAGCTTGGTGATTTCGGCTTGGCCACAGTGGTGGACGGACCCCTCTACACCGTCTGTGGGACCCCCACATATGTAGCACCAGAGATCATTGCAGAGAGCGGGTAAGAAAGCCACTTCCTCTCCGTCAACAGTCTGCATGCTGTCTCCCGCTATTGGCTACCTTATTCATCGCCCTTCCCTGCTGCTCACCGCTGATCTGTCCGCAGGTACGGCCTCAAAGTGGACATCTGGGCAGCCGGCGTCATCACCTACATCCTGCTCTGCGGCTTCCCTCCATTCCGTGGGTGGGTTCTCAAGTCACCCCCATCTTTACTCGTTCCGCAGCCACCATTATCCAGAACGATACTCAATGCCAGTACAGCACTTTGCGCTGCATAATTATCTCAAGATGTTACACTATAACACTAATATAATGTTATCATTCGAAGAATATTGAATGTTAGTTGTTTATGGAACATCAGTAATATACATGCAAACAAACTGATTCTATTAAGTTTGTTTGGTATTTGTGTGGATACCCGACTCATTTTAGTTAAAAACCTTCTGCTGTGTCCCAAGTTATTCTGGAGTATTGCAGTGGCATTGGGCTGGAGACTGAATAAGCCGAATAAAAATTGTTTTATTTAACCTGAAAACAGTTTTCATTCTACATTCATCACAAACAGGTGTCTGTGTATAAAAGATCTGACCACAATTTATTTCTTGCAGAAGCAGTGAAGATCAGGAAGTTCTCTTTGACCAGATCCTTATGGGGCAGTTAGATTTTCCATCACCCTACTGGGATAATGTGTCCGACTCTGCAAAGGTATGTGATTTGGTATATGCCAGTCTGTGTAGTTGTGTGCATGTACATGGTGTGAGTCGTAGCATACTTTGGCTTTTGTCTCTTCAGGAGCTGATCACCTGCATGCTCCAGGTGGAAGTGGACCAGCGCTACACAGCCCTGCAGGTTCTAGAGCATCCTTGGGTCAACGTAAGTGACCCACGGCACAACCCCAGAAAAGGCAACAAGTAACATACTGATCTGCATGACTCCCGTGTTGGCTGGGGTATAGCTAACTCATTGTTTTCCAGTCTGGTTCTCTGGACCCACAGTTGGTCCATGTTTTTGCTCCCTCCATGCTGTTTTCCATGCAGACCACAAAAACTTAGACTTTCTGTGGGTCCCAGAGGAGCGGATTGGGAAACACTGAGCTGACTGGCACACGCAGTGCTCAGGAACTAAGCCATGCAGGAATATGTGAAAGTAAAAATGGCAGGCCGACCATCCCGGAATAAGGGACAGGCACTAGAACAGTTATAGCACCGGTGCAGGTGTTCCTGACATGGCGGCCCGCCTGCCCGCCCGCTGTGCTCTGCGTCGCCTCCCCTCACCTGTGTTCCCTTCACATCTCACAGGAAGATGGCCTGTCAGAGAATGAGCACCAGTTGTCTGTTGCTGGGAAGATCAAGAAGCATTTCAACACTGGGCCCCGAGCTATCAGCACCACGGCTGAAGTGTCTGTCATCACGGTAAGCCCCGCCTCCAGGGAGCCATAAATAACATGAAAGGGCACAGAACCTATTTCAGCATTTAGTCAGTTGATATTTGAGCATAAATATATGAGAAATACACTAATGTAATCTTAGGATTTAGGAAGCACTTTCATATTGGGTCTGAACAGTTTTCATCAAGAACTTCTTTTGGTTGCAGGTAAAGTGTATAGTGGAGCACAAATGTGACAAGGCAGTTGTCTAGTGAAAATTACAGCCTATTAGAAAACAGTGAAATTGGCATATTGCTTAATCTGAGCAGTGCTGTCAACTGCTCTCAAAAAGCTCAGACATCAAATATCCACCTGCAGACTCGCTGCTCGTTTAATTAGGCCTGAAATCTTCTGCATCCCTGCAGTATTAACTCTTATGTGTGGGCGAAACCAGGAGTCTTGCCATCGCATGCCATGTTCTCATTTTTTTCATTTCATTTACAGAAAACAATTAGGTATATAGAAACTGGGTCCAAAACACAAAGAGCCAAAGCAAATAAGTTTATGGACATTTTGACATTTATTAGACTCGTCTAATGCTTGTGTTCAGAACATCTTTCTGTATCGTTTGGTGCTCCACTGCCACCTGGAGGACGGGGGCATAATCACACAGCAGCTCTGGTTAAGTGTCTTGAGAATACAGAAAGATGACTTGAGCTCAAGAGATGGTTATCAAAACAGTACAGTGAATTCCCCTCATTTCTGTTTGCACAGATGGACCCCAGCTTAACCATCCAGAGATCAGGGTCCTTGGACTTCTACCAACACCCAGGAATGTACTGGATAAGGTATGATACACAATCTCCATGGCGACGTGCTAGTGACTCTCTTAGCATGTCCAGATACAGTGTCACCCCTCCCCCCAACCCCTTTATAAAATGCTGACAGGTGGCCTGTTTTTCTCCCCTCTGCCCAATGTACCTTTTCCAGACCACCACTCCTGATAAGGAGGGGTAGATTTTCAGATGAGGACGCCACCAGGATGTGAGGTCCATGCCCCACCCAGCAGTTCTGCCTCCCTCCCTGCCACCGCCAACTGGAACCTGAGCCCCTCCACTGGGACAGAGTCCATCCGCCCGCCCAACTCGCCCATCTGGAGTGCTCCCCGACACCTCCCCCTACCTCACCCAGTGGGGGACAGAAGAGGAGAGAAGGCGGGGAGTCCATGGTGGATGGGCAGGGGGCGGGGGGACGCATAGAGGGACAGAGGAGTTTGAAGGAGCAGGAAAGGGAATGTGGGCGGAAGCCATGGCATCGCTGAAGGGCGACGGCGGGGTGATCCGCTGAGATGTGACAGTACGCGAGCCTTTGTATCCGAGTGCCACTTTGTATATTTGCCTCATTTGTACATTTCTTTTTTTTGTTTTTAATTTAAGCATATATAGTTTTTTCACTTTTTTTCATTTTGATTAACCCAAGGGAAATGTATCATTTCAATTAAATTTTAATGCTTTATTTTAATTCAGTGTCTTTAAGTCAAATCTCACTGAGATTGACACTTGGCAGGTGCTCAAGTGACTGTGATCTTTTAGAATCATGCCTTTACTCTTGACCTGTCTGTAACCTCCTTGGAAACAGAGCTGTACCAATACATGAAGGCAAATTTATATATTTTTATGTTAGTGAATCATATATTATAAATCTATCATTGTTGCTTTTAACAATGTAATAGCATGCATAATCGATCTGAATTGATCTGACAATATATGTCACTTTTCAGTGTGCTACAAACCATACAGAACATCACATGGAGTGGCAATAAGTGATATGGTTTGCAATATATGGGACATTTGTCAATGTTTTTGTGAAGGGATACCTTTTATGGATTTAATGGCATTTTGTCTTCAGTTGATGCTTTAAGCAAGTAGCTGTGACAAGGACATTTCTTTCATGACAGCTGGGACTTCTGTCCAGTTTGGCAGAAATCACTCAGACTAACTGGGGCCTTTTGTTAGTATGTTGGGAGAAAAATATCTCCCATGAGTTGGTCCACCCCCTTGTAGCAGACAGACACCTTGCAGGTTTTTGCAGAAACAGAACTCAGTGCCTGGCCAACAGTATGCAGAAACCAGACAGCTTTCACATCTGTGGCATACTGGTTTATAAAACAATGGGAATTGTTTATATATATAAAAAAAGCTTTAGAAAAGAATAAGATTTGTGATAATACATGTCTATCTCATGTATATAATATAATTTTATTCGTTTTATATATGTATGTAGGAGAAAAATGTAAAAAATCTTGCATACAAAGCAAAAACGTCCAGTTGCCATTCTCACACGGTCATTGTCTTTTGACCACTTAGTCTTTATATTTAAAACATGTTGGTGGACAGGCCACACTCAAGGGTTTGTCGCTAGATTATGACGTCATTTGCCCATGACAGAGTCTTTAACAACATGCTTGATCTATCCGAACGTCTTACGCCTAATGGCACGCGAAGGAGTCGGACCTGTGCTCGCGTACCTGAAGCCATGAAGTGCTGCTGCGGCATTTCAAGCGAAAAACGTCAAACTGTGTCGTATAATTGTTCGTCTTCATTTTCAGTGCTTATCGTTTTCTCTGAGCATTCAGTTTAAAAACGAAACACATTGCTACATTTGTGTCAGGCTGTCTTTCAGTGAACTGTATGCCGAGCGGCGCCTGTCCATCTCGCGTGCTTAACCCCGATAGCTACGGCAGGCTGAGTGGAGCAGGGATCGTAAATGGATTTGGCGATCGGTCAAGCACAGGCGCTCTTAAAGTAGCCAGCTGAGTTATGTTTATATGGAGAATTTGTTATTACAATGTGGGGATACTGAACCGTTACTGTTGATTGCGGGGGTGGAAGAATTTTCAACGCTAAATGAAGCGAATGAACGGTCAGAACAGGAAGAAATGTTATGCAAAGTTCTGTGAACATGTAGCATTTTATAATTGCCAGCTGATGTTTTCTGTTTCATACTTTTATTAAACGTGATTGGGAATTTTGTGAATTCTTCTGCAGTACTCAAGTAAACGTAATCAGGAAAATAGATTAAAGTATGGTTTTACTTATTAGCAGGACATTATTTGTAGACGGAAAAAACCAAAATGAAGCCAGAAGAGGTGATACCTACGACACTTGCAATAAATAAAATGACCGACGGCGCACCTGTTTGTCCCAAGTCTGACCGTGCAGTAACCCACAAGCAGCGCAGCTGTTTTAAACTGATGGAAATTATACCATGAAACGGACATATTAAATGAAGCCCCAGGCTTTCATCGCTGCTTAGCGTATCGCTATGCGGTTATGGTCGCCCACGCTGTACAAGCTGGCGCTAGTGCTGCCATCTACTGGTTAGGAACAGACGTAACGGTTTATGTACTCGGCTAAAAGATGTCTATTTGTCAATGTATAATGCTGTTATTTAGCTGCATTTCAATCAAGTGTAATGTTCGTCAGTTAATCCAAGAGTCGAAGAAGGAGTGTGAGTATTACCACACGCCATTTGCTGTACAGTAGTTTCAGCATTAATGTTTGCAATGAATTTGTAGTTTTGCTCTTCGGAGGGATTCCAAATGCATTATATGAATTTTGCAACTGGCATGTTGCAATAATACATAAATAAAAGTGGCTGTTTGTTTCAAAATATTTAAGATGGTGGTTATGTTACGGTACAGGTTTTCATCAGTAGGGATTTCCAGCTTCTGACAGAAAAAAGCACAACAGATATAGCTGTTCTGTACGCTGACTTTGATCTTGCGGTGTGTTACTTTACAATGTTCCAACATGTACTGTAATTTGGTATTTTGTCTGAGTATTTGCCTACAGACATGCTTAACATGCATGATAACGTAACTGCTGAACTTGAATAAGATTCCCAGGATAATAAGTTATTATATTGTATACACTATGTTTGTGTGTGTGTGTGTGCGTGTTGACAGTGGATTTTTAATCTATGACTTCATAGCCTTTTGTAAAGTGCTTCATGGTTGTTATGTAATGTCAAAATTCCTAACTCGATGTCCAGAGGGGTAGGCTTGTTTTTGGCCTGTAAAGATGAAGCCATCTAATCCTAGAATATTGACGTACAATCGCGAAAACAATACTGAACAATAAAGATGCCAAACTTCATAATACTTCTCTTATTAAATGCACCAATGTTAGTGAAATATTTGAACAAAGACTGAAAATGTACAAAAATGCATAAGGCTAAGCAGGGGGCAGTGGTGGCGTAATGGTTAGTGAAACGCGGCACATAAGATTGCTGGTTTGAAACCCAGAGCAAGATACTGTTCCCTGCTATGTCACATATGGGTTAAATGCAGAGGACATATTCATTGCTGTACACTAATCACTTTCATGGGGCTCATTGACATTATTATAATAAGCCTCAATGCAGAAGTCCAGTTGCATTTTTTTTGAGGAATGCAATAGTGAACATCACCATGAATGGCTGAATATTGCATTTGCACTTATACATCGCACTTCAAGACACCCAAAGCACTTTATAGAACCAATGGGGAGTCATTTCAACCACCACCACTGTGTAACACCCACCTGGATGATGCGACAGCAGCCATTCTGCACCAGTACGTTCACCACACAGTAGCTAAGGTGGTGAAGGGGCAGGAGAGAATTTACCAGTAAGATAAAGGCGATGATTAGGAGGCCAGATCTGATAAGGCCACAGTGAGCAATTTTAGCCAGGAACATAAACACGAGCACAAGGCCATTCAGACATCAGGCTACCACCCCTGCTCTTTTGAAAGATGCCCAAGGATGTTTTTATAACCTCAGACAGTCAGGACCTTGGTTTAACATCTCATCCAAAGAATGGCACAATTTTTACAGCACAAAATCCAACACAGTTTGCAGATTTCTCTGCTCAAACACAATCATAATTGGCTAATTGCCAGGTTTAGTAAGTGTGTTTTGGCAGGGAAATCTGGAAACTGTGTTGCAGACTGGCCCTCCAAGACTGGAATTACGGAGCCCTGGACTAACTTGTTCTGGACATCCCCGGATGTTCCTGAGCCAGCTGAGTGATGTAATCCTTCAAATCGGTCTTGAGTTTGCCTCAGGGCCTCCATCCAGTGAGGTACTCCCCGACCAGCTCCTTTGGCGGTTGACCAGGTGGCATCCTTCTTGGTTGCCGGAAGCAGCTCAGTCGACTCCATTAGACATTAATGGCAGTGTGTTTAGTTATTTTGAGGGGACAGCAAATTTACACTGTTATACAAGCTGTACACTGACTTCTTTACATTGTATCAAAGTGTCATATCTTCAGTTTTGTCCCATGAAAAGATATAATAAAATATTTACAAAAATATGAGGGGTGTACTCACTTTTGTGAGATACTGTATATACATATATATATAGCCTATATATACATATATACACACACACACGCACGTATATGTGGCGGCGCTGAAACGAGTGTTAAAATGTCGGTGCAGGAAAACAAAAAACTTAAGAGAATTCGACTGTCCCTCACAAAAACTGTAAAGTTTTAGTGGTTAAATTGCGTTTTCTACGCCTTTTCAGACAGGAGGAGATTTGTTTGGCTATGCCTAGAAAACAACGTTGTTACCAGTGTGGAGACCGTCAGAGTTTTATCAAGGACAAAAATTCCACCTTCAGCTGCCAGCCCATCTCATACCTTTCTGTTGTAAAAATTACAGTGTATTGTCTAAGTCTTCTAAGTGAATAGGGTATAGGTTAATCAGTGTGCACGCACCGTCTTTCTAACAATGCGTCCATGAATCCGGGTATAGCCCATTCAAATGTCATGTAGCCTAACTTTTTATACAATTTAGACAGCACAGAATAATTAAACTACTTTAACGCATTTATTTATACAACCACATATTTCCCACATTTTGACATCAGTGATGCAGTGAAGATACAGCCTCTTCATTTCTTGACGCCAACCCTCCCCATTAATTCGGGCTTCGTACAGGTGTTATGCCGAAAAACGCATCCCTGCCGTAGAATGCACGCCTGTCTCTAAATGACCAATTGGTCGCTGATCTGAAACGAGTTGAGCTACTTTGTCTAGTTAGGCTACCGTAGTGCTAATCGACAGCCCTAACCCTAACTCTTACCCTAACCCCCTAAAACTTTTACCCTAACCCAACCCCCTAAGACCCGAATCCCAAAACGGTGGAACTGCGCATGCGCAAAAAGGCTCGACAGTACGTCTCGATAGGTAGCTCACCTCGTCAGAACACCGGCACCTAGTTGAGCTGGCTTGCTCCCTTAAGTGGCTGGGTTAGGCTAAACTATATACATATTTACAGACTACAATAAAACATCCGGAAATATGTAGTCTGGCGAAATTGCAAACAAACAAATTTAAAGGCTCACGTCATATAATCGGGCTATATACAGTCGTCAGGCGGACAAGGACGTTAGGCAGCCTTTAGATCCTACCCATTATGTAGGGTGACCAGATAATCCATGTCAGGGAGGACACTTTGAGCTACTTCGGGTTTTACTTTCAAATTAAAAGGCTCCTGTGCTCGGCTAAATAGTTCAGCTCTTCTTGTGCTTTGACTGGTTTGTTTCCTTGACTGAAAGACTCATCCAGCTGTTTCATATCAACATTAGTGACACATGCATGATTATAGGAGACTGACCAATCAGCACACAGCAAGAACTCAGTGCTCAAGTCAAATCCAGGTCCGTTTAATTGAAATGGTAATTTACAATTCCTGTCCTAGCTCAGAGTGTCCTCCCTGACATGGATTATCTGGTCACCCTACCATTATGCACTGCAGTTTTTTGCAAATTCCTCAAACAGAAAACCATTAAATACAAAAGGAACAGCTTAGTTTGACTTCAAAACATTACTATGTATTACATTTTAAGTTTTTGTAGGGATTTTACAGGTTTTTTTTCTAAAAATTACACCATACACCCACCATAATAAGAATGTATACCAAAAATGACCGATATATAAAATCGCAAGTCATTGGTAATATATAAATAACATATTCTAGCTGTCAAAAGCTACGGAAAAACTTTTATAGTGTAACTTTATGTGCATTTAGTATATGGGATGGTCCTCTTTTGGCTGGGGGGAGGGCCCGGGCCCAGAGGTGGTGGCCCCGCCCACCCCGCCTTTAGCTCCGCCCCTGCTTCTATCAGAAATAAATACCACATTGAAAACTGGCTTAAAAAACATATAGCATTATAGACATTATTGCAAGTGCCCAAAGAACATTATTACTGAGGTCCTCCAACGTACGTTTTGATTCATGCGATTCGTATTATCTCCCTCCTCCTGTTTGAAAAACTTTACTGTGATTACACAACGCAAATCAAACCGCTATTAATAGTGCTGTGATCCAATGGCGTTGAGCATTGTTAAATTTACAGGCGACGATTGACAATGTTCTGATCCAACAGAGTTGGGCATTGTCAGACTGACAGTATTCCAACCCAATGGAGTTGGGGGGGGGGGGGCAGGTGCCATCCGGTGCCACCCCTTTGGACACACCCCTGCTCCCCAGGGTTACAGTCCCTTCACCTGTGACTGGCCAAATTCAGAAGCATTCAATCATTTGTTGACGGTACTACACTTATTGAACTCGTCACCAGTAATCATGAACCTACATACAGAACTTATGTAGCAGAGCTGATGGTCTTGGGCCACAACAGTAATTTCATCCCAAACATCAATGAAACAAAGGGATTGTCGACTTCCAAAGGTGCAATAGGAGTCATGCAGCAATCGCCACTAACAGCTTTTCAGTTGAGACTGTGAGCAAATTTCAAGTCCTGCAGTTTAGAGATCTGAGAGGCTAAGGTAAATAAACACAAAATAAATGCCTCACAAATGAATCAGGACCTTCACTTTAGGCGTCTAGGAAAGTCGGACATGAGCAAGGTCAAATTCAATTTCTTTTACAATACCATCGAAAGTGCGCTTGGCAACAATTAGGTATGATGGGGGAACAGCTCAAGGCAGGAAGATTGGGCCAAAAGATCATAAGGAACAAAAGTACCCTCCATCCACGAGATATACCAATTAGACAGCTGCTGTAACTACTCAAATCAGCCAGACCAAAAGCTGTTCTCACTCCTACCAGATTGAAGAATGTCTTCCCTTAAGCCATCTGCATCGTCAATAAATGAATCCGCTCTACTGCAGTATTACAGGCATCTGCACTGCATGTGTCCTGTCTATTATGTTTTTTTGCACTGAATGTGGCTGATCAAAGACAATGCACTTGTTGCAGATAATAAAATATCTTCAGTTTTGAAACTCCAGGAGATCACTGATATTTTCCAAATAGTATGCATTAGTTGTGGTGCTGTATCTGATTTGCAAGTATATAGTGTATATAGTATATAGTGTTTGATGTAATATCAGGATAAAATGATTTGATACGACTTTCAATGTAAAATTGATCATTAAATGTTTTGAGAGCTTTGACTTTGCCATGAACTCTTGAAAAAAAATCCACCTTGAACAAATTACCCATACAGGAGAAAAAAAATCTCAGTATTGTTTTTGATTGTTTTATTATAAATACGACAAAAAGGAAACCATGTTCTTTTAATTTACAGTTATTGATCTTTATATATTGGCATCAGTTAATATTTAACCGATTCTGAACAAACACTTCGTGTAAATTTAAGTTTCGACGTACACATAAAACAGCAGATAGAGACTTAACTTATGCAATCAGAAGTATTTTCCAACCAAATGGAATTAATTACAAAACAAAACAGTACTTTAAGATAACAGAAACAGTGCCGCTCTTATATTAGAATATATCCCAACCAGTGCACCATTTAAAAATGAAATGCAGTGGGATTGCATGACTTTCAAATTATAAAGCAAAAATATATAAATAAACCAAATTAACTGTACAGTCCTGACCCATCAGCCTCATTACCATGCAAAGACGCCACCGTGTTCAGTCTGGGATGACCTCTGTACAAATACCTATGGCAAAAAAGGCGAATCATCAGGTACTTTGCATATTTTATTTGTCTTTTTTTTACTTTGAATTCACACGCCCTATTTTACATCTTTGCAATAAAACATGGTTACAATAGCTTTAGGATTATACAGATCCAAAAAAAAAAAAAAAAGTTCAGTTCATCACTTTTGGATGCGATCAACCATCTTCAAGTGTGGTTGTGTGTGTCCACGTACATCTGAGTGTGGGTGCAGACATGTTTATCCAGACCACACCATCGACCCCCCCCCATGAACCATAGACCCAACCCTATCTATGTCTGCACACCCTACGCTACAAAACTTGATATTGCTTACCATCCCATGGTCGTATTGGG